TAATAATTGTTGATTGTGTGCATAATAACTTTACTAATTCTATTCCAAACTTTATCAAACTTGGTCACCTTATTCATCAGTATAAAGTCTTCCCTGAGTTTGAACAACAGATGTCCTGTATGAAAATATCATGCCAAAATTGAGAAAATCTGATAAAATATTTTGACTGTTTCTACTTGACTGATCACTGGTGATACACATCAAAGGTCACTGATCTCAGTGGAAATATGCATTGTTGTATGTGTTCAATGAAGCAAATGATTTATCTTGTAATAATATCCTTGGTAATGTATCTCAGAATCCCATACTGGGTTTCAAAACCAACTCATTGAGAGATTGCACAGTCTGATACACATTTGCAAACCTACCAATAAAATCTTTACAGAAAACAAGATGTCAGAAAATCAATATAAGCACTGCTATGAACTGGGTGCCAAACTTTGATCAAGATCTGAAGCTAATAGAAAATCTGTTTAGTCAAAAGTTATCAAATCAAAAACAATACATAAAAAATACATTAAAAGCAAAACATTTCATCCACATTTTAAAAAGAAAATTATTCTAAAATATATGTATTCTGTATTTGACAAACAGTTCATTCGACAAATGAAAACTCACAGGAATATGTTTCAGCTATTAGAACAGAATGATAGTTTTTATAATACTAGTTTAAAAACGCACTTCAGAGATTGCAGTTTTTGAAGATGTAGTTTCTCAGGAGGCAACAGTACTGTTGACTTCTCCCTCCACTGGACACTAACTATTTAAGTTGATTTGCATACAAAGCAGAGCTTGCAACATGATAGCTATTCATAAAGGGTGTTTTTTTTACTTTTCATATAATACAGTAGTCACACAATGAGGCAGTTCATATTTGTCTCAGTGAATTATTCATTTTTGACAGACATCTGTACAAAATACTTGAACTAATGCCAGCTAAATTTTTCTGTTATCTTGCATGTTTTATGAATCTATTCACATCTAAATGCAGCACTTTTTTTTGCAATGAGACATTTGTTTTTATTCTAAATATCTCAATTACTTTCAATAAAGCTGAAAATTATGTTCCTTAAAATAATTAAACAAATAAGGCACCAATGTTTTTGTAAGATATTTACATCTTTTAAGGACATTCGGTAGACTGATTCCCCACTGTTGGTTCAACCCCAAAACTTGTTTGTATTCAAAATTAATTATGACAATGCATATTTATATTGAAACAAACTATGATAAAGGGAATTATATTATATAACAAAGGACAAGGTCACCAGAGTTCAACTATGTTTTGTTTTTGTTTTGAAAATGCGGTATCTTGGACAGAGGGGATTTGTCAGTTTTTAAATTTGATACAAACATTATACATATTGATATACATGTTTATGGTGATTCATTTTACATATCTCTGTACATAAGCCTGGACAAATTAAATTCAGTTTGGATACAAAAAAATTAACTTATGTTAAAATGAGTTCATCATCTTGGATGAACCACAAGTTGACTCTGATCTGTTGTACGACAATATTATTACCAAATACTACAAGTTTTATAAAACTATAAGTTGAACTATAAGTTGCGAAGTTAACTTGAGAGTACACAAATTGTGTGGAAATCGTAAAACACATTGCCGAAAATAGCTGGAAAATTTGCGAATGTTACCTGGTAAGTTGAATATAATAAAGGAAATATAAAAAGTGAAGGAATATATAAAATAAAATATGAAAAATAAAGGAAATATGAATATATAATATGACGTTGCGAGAGTTAGGCCGAAAGTCAAAATGTTTCGGTGAAAAGTCTAAATAGACTTCAGTTTAAGACATCAATCACGACCATGATTTTCGTAATAGCGACCTCTGCATAAAAAAATGAAATAAAGAAACTGTCTCAACTATAGAGGGCGAAAACCTCGTAAGGAGATCTATTGTATGATATATACTAATTGCCATGTAATAACAAAGTCAACACGCAACTACCTTATTGATACACACGTTGTTGAATTAGATATAACACCACACCAATGTGATGTCCATAGTCGTTAAATCTAAGACGTCCAAAACACAAAACAAATGACGGACCGGATAATTTTACTCCGGTTATACATGGATTTGTATGACGTCAAAAAAAGCAAAAATATTTGCGTGATTATGATCTGTGAACTTTTTTTGAAACACCTGAGTTTGTTATATGACTGTATGTCATGTAAATTTCACTATTTTGTTTAGTTTCTATTGTAAATTTGAAATTTCACTGTACATTGAATGTAAAAAATTATATACCTGTTTTTGTACCTCGTGCATATATAAAAAAAAACTGTTTTAATTAGTATATTATTTTCCAGTATTTATAATGTAATCAATATAAGCATGCCACTTATTATATCGAGTATATTGAACTAAATAACTCCAGTGTTTTCCACTTCAATGATATATTTTCCGTGTAATTTGAGAGACCCGGTAGTAATCGACGGAGACCACAATTTAATCTCAGGCTAGTGCAGAGCTCACCTCTGAATTATCATATAATGCGATCCTTAAACAAACTTAAACATGGGACGTATTATTTAAATGTCACTGCACCCCCTGCAACCTGTATAAATAATTGTCCTAGATTTAAGAAAATATAATATACTATAATATAATGGACATCATACATCAATGGTACAGAGAGGTATACAAGGACATATATTCTGATATGTTGATACTATTCTTTCAGAATTCCAGAATTTGCATAATCGTACTGGACTTACATACACGATCGGATGTTCATTTATATTTTAAGTATATTTTTCTGATGAAATTCGTTGGAGTGGCAGCAATTAGTCGGAATATCGATTGCAAAGTTGCAGGAGCTGGCTGAGAATGAAAAGATGTTGATTGGGTAGTCGAAAAGTTGTAGAAACTAGCTGGAAAGTCGAGAAAATGAAACTGAAAGGTGACAATTGTTTGGAAACTCGGATAATTTGTTGTTGTGTTACATGGGAATTTGAAAATGTTGAGGGGTAAGTCAAAACATTGGGTGTAAAATGGCCTTGATTCGTTGGGACGTGTTCGATGGGAAGTTGCTGAAGTTACACGGGTAAGTGAAATATGAATTGCAAATTTTCAGAAGTAAGCTGGAAAGTCAAAGTGGCAAAAAACTCATAACGATGGATGGGAGGGCAACTTTGCAGAAATTAGTTGCATAAGTTGCAAAATTTGATGAAAAAATGGATGGAAAGTCGAAATAGTTGGATAGGAAGTCATAAATGTTCCATTGCAAAGTAACAGCAATTAGATGGAGAAACGAAAATGTTGGGTGAAAAGTTGGAATATTGTTGGAAAGGCGTGAATTTGACTACAAAGTTGATAAAAGTCGAAAAAATGGTTGCAAATCTGTAGAAGTGAGAATGTGAAGTAGTTGGAAACAAAATTGCAGAGGTTAGTTAGAAAGTAGTTATTTTGGAATATATTTGCAAAAGTTTGGTGGAAAATACATAAGTTAGCTGGGATGTCGAATTTCACAGAATTGTAAATCATAAGAATAAATCTGCAATAAAACTACAAATACAAATGAGGGATAACACCCATTTAAAACATTTATAAGGACATTGTTTTCTAATATTTTAAACTCCAATAAGTGAAAGAAAATTGTTATTTAAAATATCTATTTGAATATAATGTTCTGTCATAGTTGGAATAGCTTAAACGTTGTTCTGATTTGTTGAGCAGCATTTTCATTAGATGACAACTTTTTAGAATGGCAATCAACTCAATGTGTAACTGTGCATTAAAAGAAATCCTTAGCTGTTTTTTTTTTAATTGTGTAATGTTGTGCTTTATTACTTGTGTGGCATTTACATAACTCATATTTAAGCTATTCTGTATGCAAATAGATAAGTAAAGCATCACAGCAAAACAGCTTGTATAACTGAAGGTTTTATTATCTCGGTACGGTTCAGTTACTTACATATTTTGAAAATCCCCCAGTCATATATTATTGTCAAAGAATCATTACATAGTTAGTGTTATGTCATAACACAGTTTATTAATTATGAATTGAGATGATAAGAATTGTAATTATTGATGGTATTACTATTTTTGTTCACTTTTAACTGAAAATATATTTTTTCTAACCAGCATTCGTAATTTATATCTATTCGGACTCGGTTGATCATCATTTATTTTGCTGTTTATTTGTGTCATTACTTGTTGTTTATATTCTTATATAATGTTGTTTTATGACTGTGATTTTTAATAATACAAAGATCTGTTTCTGTTCACGGAAGTAAAACGTAGGTCGCTTAAAGAAATCTGACTTTTTTTAAAAGGTTCGTTTTTAGTATTGTTGGCCATGGCGATAATTCCGAACAATTGTCACTTTTTGTGATCAAAATACAATTATAAATGGAACAAGAAGTCATAAAAGCATTTTTGCCGTCGTCGGATACTCCGTACACAAAGTCTAGACAAACAAATAAAATCTATTAGTAATTGGAAACCCCACTGCTCACAGATATTTTCGCTTTTCAGTTGAGTTAGTTAAAGGCTTAATCATAGTCAATAGCATTGTTGTGTGCTGCCCCAGGTAGTTCCCACCGAAAATTGGTCTTGCGCAACAATGTCCGGGCTATGTGTCATATAAAGAATGATGTAATACTGTTGGCAATTTCACCATTCATATTAATAGGTATGATTTTTCTAATGTTCAGTATTCTCATTACCCAACACGTAACAATAAATACAAACACATTCACATATACAGTCTAAAATGTTGCTATTTTTGCTGGGGAGGTAGTGGGGGAGGCGGTGGCAGCAGTGGAGGGGGCGGTGGCAGCAGTGGCGGAGGTGGTGGCAGCAGTGGCGGAGGCGGTGGCAGCAGCGGTGGTTGTGGCGGCGGCGGTTGTGGGGGTACAAGCACAGTAAGTAATCTACAGGTGTTGAAGTTGTTGTTGTTGTAGTTGTTAATAATAACACTTCCCACGAGCGATTTTGTCATTCATACGTATTTGTGTTACTCCCTCAGAATCACGGCCGTATAGCTGATAATGCTAGACGGTATATTGGGTCTACAGAGTACAGTTTTGGGTCAGACTATGGTCCGGGCCGTAATACAAATAAATGCAACTTCTTTGTACATGATGTTTTGGTAGAAAGTGGAGCCTCGGCTCCAGAAAGACGGTAAGTTGCATAGTTTAGAATTGTATGTTGTTGGTTTTTTGTGAGGGTACTATACATGGCGATGTTTCAAAGACTAGAGAATACCACATTTTGGTGGCACATTTTGTAAAGCTCACCTATGTGAAAGCCCCACCACCCTGTCCAAGGGTAATACGTATCAGTGGGGTCTAACTTGATATGATACACAATTGGGTGGATTTCGAACAGATATGGCATTGCTCTACTGTTTAACATTTGATTTCTGGTCATAGTGTAGTTCTTTTTACAGTCCTTCGTGGGTTCCGGGATCGTACCCGATCAGTGCCGAATCGTGGGGGAATCGACATGAAATTAAATCCGGCTGGAGAGTGGTGGGCACCGATCCGTCCGAGGCACAGCGTGGTGATGTCGCTGCCGATGGTGCGCATGTCGGTATTGTCAGTGGGAATGACAAAACAATAAGTGCTAGCGCCAGGGAAGATAAGGTAGTTGAAAACGACTGGGGATTTCGCCAGCAACAGCTTGGCAAAGTTATCTTCTATCGAGAAGAATGAGAATCGACACTGAATGTATAATCATCTTTTCGTTCAATGCATATTCTTACTGATTAATTTCATGCCTAAATAAACAGAGTTTCTTGTGAAACACATAAACAAACAATGCTATAGAACGATTGCTATTGGTTATAACAATTAAACTATGAAGTTACACAAATTATTGCCTCGTGTTCATTTTTCTAGGTGATGATATTTTGGCAACGTTCTGGTTACCATGGTAACAGTTTAAAACATAATATACATACTACTGATCGCTTTTGCCAATCGCTAACTTTATTTCACTCAAAATCGTTACAGTTTAGACAACATCAGAACTAATATAATTAAAAAGCTGAAATGATTAGTAAGAGTGATTATTAATGATTCTAATTATACGGCGGCATTGGGAATGTATCATTTTAGTGACATGTTATTATTGCATGTTAATATCATTTAACTTCCATGTTTCTGATTGTTTTAAGCGTCGTGATTACCATCCCCTGATTTCTCCTTGCACCACAAATTAAGAATTATTCTATGTTTCAATGTAGCTGTGTAAATGTATGTATCACATTTACATTCACTACAAACTTGTCCCAATCCAGGTAATCGAATAAAATCTGCTCACACTCAAAACATTGTATAGAAATTTGTCTATATTTGCCAATGAATATACAAAAACAAAATTTGACAATTTGATATAGAAATTATTTTCTACGTATATATCCCAATATATATTTTATAGATATACAGATATTGATCTTATCATTTCGTAATACACATTATTCAGTGGGAGGTGTGTTTGGATATAATACATAGTAAGAATGCAACTTTAATTCATTGCTGATGGAGGTAAATGTGCAACAAATCGCTTGAAGTGAGTCGAATTACTTTTGTATATGGAACGCGGAAGTAATTTGCACTTTGACACTTTCTTTTCTAGTATGTGTTGTCACGTGCTTGGAACTGGTCCATAGACTTATTAGCTTTATAACAGCCAAAGGCACTTGCTTGTCTAGTATGTTTTGTTTTGTCCCATACTTGGAACTGATCCATATTCATCTGAGCTTTACAAACGTCAATAGCACGTCTATATATCAAACGTCTGGGACAATTGTAGTAGTTGAAGTCTTAATTAGGATCATTATATCAAAACTCGGGGTCTGCTAGTGCACACCCGTGTGATGACGGATTTTGAAAGCCAATCCTCTCAATGACAATATAACTATCTGTGAAAATGCATGTAATTACTAATATAAAAATTGACATGATGATATGCAAGCAAGGTGCAGTTTGCTAATTGCTATTTGGATATAGGGTCCAGCATGTGTTAGGTATTTACTTCGTCAGAGCGGATACATTTTACCATGTGAAAAAGTCATAGCTCTGTCATAATCCCCTTTAGATGGAAGTGTTGATGTTGCGTGTGTTCTGTGGCGTTATTATCATTGTAGCCTAGTATGGATTATAATAATACACTCTGTTAGATCACAACCCACTAACTCAAAAGTTTAAAACTCTCTCAGTAATGTTACTATGGAGATCCTAAATGACAGGTGAAAATGTGATGCTCCTAATGGAATGCATCACTCCAATTGTATGATGCCATTTTCTAGTGTGAATCCTATAGAAGTAAGCTATAATTTAAACGAAAATTACTGAGGTTATTTAAGGAAAAATTAAAAAAATGTTTGCCACTGTGTCGTGATTCTTTATGTATAACTTGTTATAGATATGCTTCGTCCCGCCCTAGGAATAGTTGTCTCTGAGAAACACACATTTCTCCGCCACTGACATACGAAGAGAACATATATAATGTGAAATATTTCTGATCACTTTCTTTCGAAAACGATAGCACTGATACGTTTATGAGAAGCTACTAGGTGAGAGACTCACTTGCAATGAAGTAGTATGTGATAAGTGGCCACCCTTTTCTGATGACGATGATGTCATCTTCATAACATCTACTGCACCCAATACACAGTTTGTGTGTGCCGCAGACTCACATAAGAAGGTCGCAAACCTTTTAACAACAGTGTGATTTTGAGTTGGGCCGAGTGGTCAACATATCAATTGTTTCTTTTGCGAAATGTCCGCACACATGTTTGGACAAATCTAGCAAAATCAATTAACAAAACCAAATGTGTTGGTATTACAACCAGACTCGCAGTTCATTTTGCGAAATCTCGCATTGATCACTGTAAGCATCATATACATATGAATCGAATTGAGAAGATGCACATAGACTTGAGTGATTACAACAACCATCATTATGTTCGAAGGGGGATTATTATACACCATGACAGGATGTAAAGTGTGGCCTAGCTTCAGTGGTCCATTTTTTCGAGACTCCTTGTTAAACTAATTGATTTTATTATTCATCATGGGAACAGATAAGCAGTGGATGTGTACTGCATATATTTGAACTTTAATAGAACAGGACAATGCACTATTATACGTATTCAGCCAGGTACGAAAAATCAACTTTATTGTGATGAATTAAGTTCGTATACGGGGCACGAAAGTAATTTGCACTTTGACAGTATGTCCTATAATTGAAACGTTAAGCGACAATTGTACGTATATTTATTTTTATTGTCTGGAACAATCTCAGCAGTTCACAGTGTGTGTAGGTAAATGTAGGTAACTATAGTAACGTACACACAAACAAATCAAAACGATATATGGTGATCATCGCCTGCATGTAATTTTAACAATTCTTTAAAGATCAATAGCTGATGCAAATTTTTTTTATTTTCAGCATGCAATGTCTGTGTGTGGGTTTTATAATAAAAACAGTGGTGTGAAATATTGAAAGAATAAATATTTTCAAAACTGAAATAAAAACTGTTGGTATTGAAAGGTTAATGAAAACCTTTATTCAGCAGTATAGAAATCTAATTGAAAAGTACATCTTGAATTAAATAATTTCTATTTTTGAAACACCAAAATGCTTTCATGCAACTGGCCTTGACTGATTACAGCTTCGGTATGCCAATATTTCAGAATTTGTTGTCAAACTAACTAATGTTATCATTTCCCCTGTTGGAGGTATAGGAATAAAAGGTTGAAATACAATTGTTGTTCTTTAATATTACAGGACAATGTGATATTGTATTTATTTTCCAAGGTATGGATTGGGCTGCGTGGAACGCGGAAGTTATTTGCACTTTGACACTTTCTTTTTAGTATGTTTTGTGTTATACTTGGAACTGGTCCATAGTCCTAGACTGAATAAACAATAACAGCATTTGTAATAAGTCTGGGGCAATTTCAGCAGATCGTTATAGCAAGGGTATATAAGGTTAATACACAAAACCATGGCAACGTACACACAAACATATCAGGTCCAGCATATATAAACAGTGAACGTCGTCTGTATGCCATTTCAACTGTTCTTTGAAGCATCCATTACTGATAACTGAATCTTCCTAAAGGTAAGAAATGCTCTGCTGGTGTGATTTTATATTATGAGATGTAATGTAAATTTCGCATTACTCATTTATGGTGTACACTGCTGGTGAATATGTACAACGCAGTTCGAAATTGTCAGTGCTTCAGCCTAGCTGAGATTTCTGTTTTATTTCATTTTTCATTTCAGTACAAGTAAATATGGCATTGAGACACACTGTTGTGATTGTTTTAGCGTACTGTGCGTGTGCACTGGCATGCTGGGGAGGTAGTGGAGGAGGCGGTGGCAGCAGTGGAGGGGGCGGTGGCAGCAGTGGCGGAGGTGGTGGCAGCAGTGGCGGAGGCGGTGGCAGCAGCGGTGGTTGTGGCGGCGGCGGTTGTGGGGGTACAAGCACAGTAAGTAATCTACAGGTGTTGATGTTGTTGTTGTAGTTGTTAATAATAACACTTCCCAAGAGCGATTTTGTCATTCATACGTATTTGTGTTACTCCCTCAGAATCACGGCCGTATAGCTGATAATGCTAGACGGTATATTGGGTCTACAGAGTACAGTTTTGGATCAGACTATGGTCCGGGCCCTAATAAATATAAATGCAACTACTTTGTACACGATGTTTTGGTAGAAAGTGGAGCCTCGGCTCCAGAAAGACGGTAAGTTGCATAGTTTAGAATTGTATGTTGTTGGTTTTTTGTGAGGGTACTATACATGACGATGTTTCAAAGACTAGAGAATACCACATTTTGGTGGCACATTTTGTAAAGCTCACCTATGTGAAAGCCCCACCACCCTGTCCAAGGGTAATACGTATCAGTGGGGGTCTAACTTGATATGATACACAATTGGGTGGATTTCGAACAGACATGGCATTGCTCTACTGTTTAACATTTGATTTCTGGTCATAGTGTAGTTCTTTTTACAGTCCTTCGTGGGTTCCGGGATCGTACCCGATCAGTGCCGAATCGTGGGGGAATCGACATGAAACTAAATCCGGCTGGAGAGTGGTGGGCACCGATCCGTCCGAGGCACAGCGTGGTGATGTCGCTGCCGATGGTGCGCATGTCGGTATTGTCAGTGGGAATGACAAAACAATAAGTGCTAGCGCCAGGGAAGATAAGGTAGTTGAAAACGACTGGGGATTTCGCCAGCAACAGCTTGGCGACGTTATCTTCTATCGAGAAGAATAAGAATCGACACTGAATGTATAATCATCTTTTCGTTCAATGCATATTCTTACTGATTAATTTCATGCCTAAATAAACAGAGTTTCTTGTGAAACACATAAACAAACAATGCTATAGAACGATTGCTATTGGTTATAATAATTAAACTACGAAGTTACACAAATTATTGCCTCGTGTCCATTTTTCTAAGTGATGCTATTTTGGCAACGTTCTGGTTACCATGGTAACAGTTTAAAACATAATATGCATACTACTAACCGCTTTTGCCAATCGCTAACTTTATTTCACTCAAAATCGTTACAGTTTAGACAACATCAGAACTAATATACTAGTAATTAAAAAGTTGTAATGATTAGTAAGAGTGATTAATTAATTACACGGCGCCATAGAGAATGTATCATTTCAGTGACATGTTATTATTGCATGTTAATATCATTTAAATAGCATCACTTCCCAGTTTCTGATTGTTTTAAGCGTCGTGATTACCATTCCCTGGTTTCTCCTTGCAGCACAAATTAAAAATTATTCTATGTTTCAATGTAGCTGTGTAAATGTATGTATCACATTTACATTCAATACAAACTTGTTCCAATCCAGGTAGTCGGATAAAATCTGCTCGCACTCGAAACATTGTATTGTTTGCCATAAATGTTGTTCCTAAGCCAAAATCAAAATAGATTTTTTTACAAGCTGAAATATCCAGCTTTGTGATTACATCTAACAAGCCGTCATCGTCTATCAGCTAGGGTGAAAATCGCATTTTTAAAATGTCTATTTTTAACGTGAATTACTTCATAACCATATTGGCTAAGATTATTGAATTTTATTGGTCGCCTCCTACGCTTCAACATCCGTATTGATTTGTTTAGTATGCACGTAACCGATTTCATTTAGCGGGGTATCAGAAAACGGTGAATCAGGTTAACCTGACAACGTTGTCAGACCCCAGCATCTTTGTCCATCCAAGACAAATTTTAAAACGCCATTGTTTAATTTAAAAAGGCCGAATCCAATAGCATTCATGTTTGCGCTTGTTGTATGCTGATATATTTCAGCTAAACCTTGGGGGAAATAACACCGAATATACGGCATGGTAAATACTATGTTGAATGAAAGTAAACATGTACTGCGTGCGTGATTGGGACCGACGATAACCAAATCGCTAGGTTCATACCACAGTACGTCTTCCGCTTGGCCACCGTTTACGTTAGTATAAGGTACTTACCCGAGATAATTTCTTCAAACCAGTACACAGTACCTCGATCGTTCATCGAATACGTTAGCCCGCCCTCAACGAACGCTCCTAACTTCAATGTGCCCATTGTACTAGAGGGCGTGAACTCGTGAAGTGTAGTAATTGAAGGAGGAAGCTTTTTGAACAAAATGTTCCAATCGTAATGCTCTAACTACAAATACACTAGATATAGTTTTGTACT